GGGGGGGGGGGGCTGGGGAGAGAGGAGGAGGGACAAACGGAGGACTGAGGACCCCCAATGGGCGCTTTCAGAGTTCAACGACGTGCACTGTTTTAAGCGACCAACCGACCGACCGACGATGTTGCTGATCATGTGTTGACAACGCAGAACAGATTGCGTTCAAGACTATCAATTGCTGTCCAGCGTTGACATCATGTGGCCAGTGACGCCGTCGGTCTGTCATTTGATGCAGTTGAGCTGTAAGCACCCAACGGGGGGATTGTTATCTTTTATTTGACAGAGGCTCTCTGGTCAAAGTAGTTCAAAGTCTGTCTTTTTGCCATCTTTTTGTTGTTCGAATGATAACGTGTCAGCCGAAAGCGATATAAATCTGCACAGTATAATAACAACAATGCCTTGTATATGATATAACATAACGATACAAAAAAAGAAAAGTAAGATTTTCAGAGAAATTCCGACGAGATTGAAATTCTTGAGTACCAAGAACTCGGTTTTGAACCTCTTCTGAGAATGATCGCATCGGAAACAGCCCACGTTGAATCGCAACAGCTTCAGGATGAGCACCACCATGGCGACGAGGACTACCATCAAGAATCGCATCAGCATTATGAAGAACATCATCAACAGGAATCACACAATCATCATCACGATGTATAGATCAGTTTTCTGAATTATCTTTGCCATTAGGCTTCTAAATAGGAATGTGGGTCTTATAGCGCTGGCCTTAATACGGTATTTCTTATCAGAGAAACAAAACACATCGTGTTATTGTTGGTGACCTCATGTGTGCAGTCGGAACAAGGAGCCAGAGCATGTTTTTGAAACCAACAGGAGCCATGAACCTCTACGGGTCGTAGGGGAGGATAAAGGTCTAAAATTCATTATGTCCGGTGATAATCTGATAGGCTTTGTGGGATGGAAGGTGGGATTCTTAAAAAACTGTAACTACAGTAATTGCGGTGAATTTTTGTAGTCAGCCACGTCCTACGAGATAAATACTATCACTATTTAGCAACAAATTTTATAGTGATATACCAGATGAAATATTCTTTTACATCTACACTTTTCTTTGTTCAGAGCGACGATGATCAATTCACTTTTGAAAATGTGGAATACGTTCATGAAAAGGAAGATGCTCCTCATGTCGATCATGGTTCTGATGAAGCTCACGAGGAACGGATCATTACCACTACAACTACAACCACCGATAAACTCTACGATCCTTATGCGATTACTGTAGAGGAGCATCACGAGCACGATGATGTAAGCGAGGATCTGATGAGAAAACACGTGGTAGAGCCGATGATGCGTGAGATCATGCGAGCAACAGCGCTCACGGATAACTCCGCCCACTTCTATGAAACATCACACAGAACCACTTCTACTACGAAATATAGCCATCATATGAAAAAAGAAGTGGTCAGTGGGTGGCGGTCTCTAACACGGTGACCTTATTAATGTTTTTAAATGTATACGAATTAACCTTTATAAAATTACAGCACGTAACAAACAACAAGAACGACGAGTCATTTTATTCACACTCGGTGTACGACAAGGAACATCATCATCATCGTGAATCTCCTCTTCTGGTCGATACACACCATAGCGATGAACAAGTTGAAATTCGTACTAGTATGCATTCATCCGGCCATTCGACTCTGGTTCGCAGCGCTCAGCGACCAAATGTGGATGTTCCGCTGAACGCTGGAGGTAAAAAAAACCGTTGTAACCATAATGTATTCAGTTACAAAAATGGCTCTTGTCCGTCGTGAAATGGGCTAACTTTACTGGGGCTAATTGAATATCGCTTAGAGATGCTGCTCAGAATGGAAAAATAGGTAAAAAAAGAGGATTTACTGATGAAAGTCAGTTTCAATTCGCATAACGTCAGCTGCGATAGATATGACTAGGCTAAACCAAGTATTGACAGTAGTATATGAGGGCAGAAACGAAAATCCAGTACGGGCAGTGGGTCCGGTACCTTCTCCCCGAAAACGACGTCGCGACCGTCGCAACGATATAAAGGGAAGGGTTCGAAACCCTAGTGCAAGGATAGGGCAGCTGCCGTGTGACCGCTGCCGCCTGCCGTGGGAATTCGGGGCGAAGCTCCGGCACCCACGGGCACTCGACTCCTACAGTAATTCGGCACGGCATAACCTCATTTTGACACGCAAATTCGCACCCATCACATATACGAGACGTCGAAAAGGGTCCATGGGCAAGGACATGGGGGGGGGGGGTTGGGGGATGGACTTCAAGAAGTTGGAGCAGGTGTTAGCTCACGTTAGAATCAGTGTCTAAAGCTTCACCAAATGGAAGGAGAAAGAGGCAGAGATCACTATTCCGCGCTGGTTAATCCCACTCTATTTTGTGCTGGTTAATCCCACTCTGGAAGACACCCACGCATTTGACATCCATTCAGAATCATAGTGACATTTGAACGCGTGTCCGACTAATACTTTAATGTAAAGGGCGCTATGATGCGATTACAGCAGTTCCCCTAGATAAATCAGAACCATTCAATGGACCCTGGCTTGTTTTGAAGTTTCGTTGGCAAGGACAATGATCGAACTCCTAAGTCCGAAGTCATGGTAGTGTTCAATCTTCAAATTTCCGGAGGGCAACGACTTTTTTCTACCACTTGAGATAAAATTTCCATGATTATGGCCTTAGCACAATTTGCACTTATTTTGAACTTCATATGAGAACTGGGTCAAATTTTGGGCTATGACTCGTAATCTTTCGCCTTCGCCTTGTTCCGGTGATGCTGTGACTCAGAGATTTTAACTATTTACAATTGATAAGTGATTCAGCCACCCCGGTTCATCTTCACCAGAAACGTTTAATGTTGCTTATCGCTTTTTTACAAACGGTTATGAGCTGAGTCACCCACTGCTTTTACACACCTCCACTGTGTGCCTTTACGGCGAGGAGTAGGAGGTAGGGGGATCAGGGTGGTGCGTAATTCATGATTAAGACACGTTTTACAGAGGGTGTAACTCTGAAAGTAAATAATGCATCAGTGTAAGTACGGGCAGAGCCGCAGGTAGCGTACTATCACAGGCAAATGGTCCGGGTACAAGTCCCGGATCGGCCCTAGCCTAAGACGGCACTGAACTCGTCGGAAGGATAAAGCCATGGGCGACATCGGCTGACCACCGCAAATCATTGTGTAAGCTTCATACGCATTGAAAACGGTTTTTGAAAGTCAAATGCGGGACGCATACCACAGACGATATTGATCAACGTTAACGATTTTATCTTTTGAGCGTCACAGTACTAGTAATCTATCCATACCCGAACGCAGAAGAACTCCAAGGGCTCTAAGGGTAAAGTAGAGAAGCATAGATTTCAGCGATGTCATCATAGGCCGGCGATACTTCTCCACCCACGGCAAGCGGCAGTGGTTTCGCGGTGGCTACCGTACCCTTCTACTGGGAATTGATCCTCCTACTTCATAGCGCGCGACTGCGCGCGATTGGGTGGTGCGAGCGCGGCGCGATTTTTGGGGATGACTTACCACACCCAACAACGTATAAGTGTGTTAAGAAGAGTCCAGACGAATAGATGTCAATAGGTGAAAGTAGTCTGAGCAATGAGAATCCAAATATCTTTAAAAATCCACATTGAGGCCTTATGAACCCACTATCCGAATCTTGAATATCCCCTTTATTAATCGGCTTCGGTACAGCCCCATCCAAACCCAGCCATAGATGATGTTTCTCAATTTTCAGCAGTGAAAGAACTTCTATCGAAGCTCGAGGCAGGACAGTTCAACGATGAGGTTCACGAGAAGCCACGCAAAGAGATTAACATCTTCGAAAGTCTCGATGAAAATGTAGGCGGTCCATCACTACTGTTCAGTTGTCGTTTTTTTTTGCTCATTTACGGTAATGATAGCTATTTAAGGGCAACACCCCACCCGGCGTACTTCCACCTGTGCCACAACCGCAGAGTCATTACCACGAGTTTAATGAGCTAAGTTATCGCCAACCACGCGATCTAGCCAAGGCCACTGCGACTCTACATCATTACGAGGCTAAGGACCATGGTGAGGTACACCGTCACGATCCCAATACGTGCTCCGATTGTCGTGCTGGGCGAAATGACCAACATGCTTATAAGAGGATCGAAGCTCGCGTGGAACGTACTCATGGCCATAACCAACAAGATGAACATGATCGTCATGATCAGCATCGTTATGAACAACGTGAGGGTGCTGGTCGTTACGAGAAGAAATATGATCACTATGATGAACGTCAGCAACGCACCAGACATGGTAATGACCACGGTCATTACGATCAGAAGATTCATCACTATTCCACTAGTCAACACGAGCAAGGAGAGTATGCCTACGCGCCATCGGAGTACAGCGAGCAGTCGGTTGAAGAGAATCAATTGAGCGTCTCCCAACTAAGAAACGTTTTCGGTGGTGCAGCAGCCAAACACAACGATGAACATAAGACTCATAAGAGAACTACTTCAATTCATCGCATTGATGAGGTGATCCGCACAGTGAGTGCTTCTTCTATGGCTTACATGATAGTCAACTCAAAAATGACATAACGTAACAAAAATGCTTTTTTGTTACTTTACTATTAGGTTGTAAGGAAAGTTCTGGCCGTTCCCACGTATGTGCCATATGAATTAAAATTTTGGCGGATGTTCATTCAGGGTAATGGTCATATTGTGCTCCTTAGGCAAGTCATTAGTTGCTCTTTCTGTCATAGCGCTTCCCCCAGAATCTGTAAGGTTTTGGAATTTTTAGGAGGTTTTTCTTGGCAGAATAGCAGAATAGATAAGACTACTTTTTGAATGGTTTTACTTCACGAGTTTGAACTTGGTCGAACTGCGATGGAGGCAGCTACAAACATCAATGTTACGTGGGGAGAAGGCACTGCGGCGGAGCGAACGGTTTGTCGCTGGTTTCAGAAGTGTCGAAGTGGAGACGAGTCACTGAAAGACGAAGAGCGAGTTGGTCGACCATCGTTAGTTGATCACGATGTTTTGCTAAGAGCAGTCGAAGATGATCGACGTCAACCTTTGAGAGAGATTGCCAAGAAGATGGTTATCTCCCACACACTTCTCGCTGCCCTCCACAAGCAGCTTGGAATGGTGAAGAAGCTTGCCAAGTGGGTGCCGCACGAACTCACGGAGCAGCAACAATTGAAGCGCTCAGAAGTTTCAAGTTCGCTGTTGAGAAGTAATGATGTTNAGCCTTTTCTCCATCGGATTGTAACGTGTGATGAGAAATGGATCCTGTATGATAATAGGAAGCGTTCTGCTCAGTGGGTGAGTGTGGATGAGCCTCCAAAAAATTTCCCAAACCAGGTTTACACGTCACGTAGAAAATGATCACAGTTTGGCGGATTAATCCACTACGCGTTTCTTCTTCCAAGTCAAACCATCACCGCACAGCTCTATTGTAATCAAATTCACGAGAAGTTCACAAAACTGGAGTAAATGCAGCCAGTACTAGTCAATCGCCACGGTCTACTGCTCTTGCACGACAATGCACAACCGCATGTGTCACAAACTGCCTTCCAGAAGCTGAACGAGCTGGGAATAGAAGCTCTCCCTTATCCATTCTACTCACCAGACCTGTCACTACCATTTGTTCAAACATCTGGACAACTTATTAAAGGAACGAGTATTCAAAAATCAAGGCCACGTGGAAGCTGCCTTTCTCGAGATCTTGGAATCCAGATCTCCGGACTTTTATAAGAATGGGACAAGCAGACTAGTATCACGTTGGCGAAAATGTGTGGAATCGAATGGGGCTTATTTTGAATAAAAATGTTCACTTTGAGATGAGTTATAACTTTTTAAAAGTTAGCTGTCAAAACGGCCAGAACTTTCCTTACAACCTAATACATACTCTTGTAACGCACTGTATATTCCATTTTAGTAGCATTACAATAGCGAAACGAGAACTTAATGCCTTGGTAGACCCGTCCAGGCCATGATGTGGCAGTGTCCTGGACGGGAATGTTGCCGCGTTCAGACTTTGCTGCTAGCTCGCAAAGTAGCCAGTCCAAAAATACGAACGCGAAGCATGTCGCGATGCATGGCTATTCAGCATTCGCCTCGGCGTGCCAAAGCCAACTCGTTCTGTATGACCTGGGGCCAAGGTCTTCTATGGCGTAATCTTTGGTACTTAAAAAGCTCAAGATGCCAATTTTTCATTAATTCTTATCAAATATGCAGCGTAGAAAATCTTTCCACGAATTTTTCCGATTTTCCCGGAATTCCACTGCAAGGTCAAGGGCGGCCACCGTATCCTCCACTGGGTATTCAAACTTCTCCCTTCGAAGCACGCGACCGCGGATCGTGTGCGGCGGAGTCGACGCGTTTTCGGGAAGAAGTACCCACACCCCAAAAATACATCAACCTCACACTCTCACTGAAAGGTAACAATTTAGATAGCGAGTGGTAGCGATATGTAGCAGTTATCCCCGTCTAAGAAATGCGCACATGAAACAACAGGTCATTCTGCCTGGAACCGAGATAGACATGTCCACGCAATACGACGCGGTGTTCGGCGTGACGTCGCGTACTTTTAGCGGACTTTTGGCGGATCAGCGCAGAGTCTGAACGCGGCGTGAGAAAAGGAAATAGAAATGAAAAATTTGTCTTCAATACATCGGAATGAATGAATGACTGAGTGAATGACTTGAATAAATCACATATTCAGGCCGGTGCAGGGAGAAATGTTGTGGATTCCAGTTCTCATGTCTCAAAGAATTCTTATAAACCTCAGACTAACACTGTCATGGCAACTTCGGCTGTGCAGTCCCATGTGTCTTCACCAGTTCACCACTACAAGCAACAGCTATCTGTCCAGAATCACTCCATTTCAGCAACTTCACGTACTGTCAAAACTACTTGTCCTAGCTTAGCTATAAGCTGAATCTTGCATTTCAGCCAAATCTCCACCACCAGCACCTGTAAGTGTGGCTCGTGTTCCTCGCTCAAGCAACCCGGATCAATTCAATTCGATCAGAGTTGTGAGGAACGTTCGCGAATTTGTCAACGTTTACGGACGAAAAGTGGGTTTATAAAAGTTAATTATTTCCACAAAAATCCCCTTGTATCTAGGATTTCCAGCCCTTGAAAAATGAGCGTTCCGCTGAGATCGTCTTTTTATAAAAGCTCCCAGAGTAACGGATATCTAGGCATCGAAGTAGGCCGATTCCCCTCTGAGCTCTATCAAACTGTACAAATCATTCCGTAGATTACAGCGTATATCGAGAATTTTCAGGATTTTGACACCACAAAGCACAATGTAATCACGTCCCCTATATCTCCAAGGAGTCCTATTCTCCCAGTCGCCCAGGAGCGCAAGGTGGTCTCTACCGTGCAGGCCTCGGCAAAGCCGAATGCCGCTCAGGCTCAGCATCATGTTCAGCAGAAGTAAGTTGTGAAATACTGTAAAATAATTGAATAAGTTAAAGAACATTTTTTAGACAGACCGTCGTCAAGACAAGCGTTCAGCATTCCGCTCCAAAGGTGAGATTTGTACCAGATAATATATGAAAACCATGTAGAGTCAAAGGTGGCTTATGCACACATGACAGAGCAGAAAAAATGAACATATCGTTTTTTCGCTCAAATCTGGTCATTTGGATTGGCTGGCATCGTGTTTCCACGCTGAGCCTAAAATAAACTATAGACTTTGGTTTTATTGATTAGTTTCGAAGTAGAGGTCATGTTGGAATGGTTGGGGCACAAGATAACATATGCTCTGCACTCGTGAACTGTGCGGAGCCCCGCCCACAATGGGAGGTGCATTCGTGAACTGAAACGAGTGGTGTCTAAACTCAAAGTCATCTAAACTCCAAAAAGTAGCGTTCCGGTCATACAACTGCTCAGCGGTGGACAAAATAGGCCCGAAATGATTGGAAAAGTGTCAGTTCGAAAAAAGCAGGTGCATACTGCTGGTCGACTCATGACTGCATAGTTGATCCGGCTGCTGGTGAACCGTCTGAAGGATGCGCACCGAATATGACTTCAAATCAGAATCGTAGTGACTTATTGAGTGCCTATAAGGCTTTTAAAATAAAGTCTGCCCTCCCAGGCAAGTTTGCTACCAGTTAACCGATCCCGGGGGAGAAAAGCTTGATTGGCCTAAACGGATAACGATCCCGGATTCGTACTGACCATGCGCGTGTGATCGATAGTGCATCAGTTACCGCTGCACCACATACGTCCGTGCTGTTTGATTAATTGAATTCGTGAAATGAAAATTACGATTGATTAGTGAAAATTACAAAATCTTCTAGAGCCTTTATTGTTTCCCTCAACACTTTTAAATGTGAATTGTTAGAGATTTTCAGACAGACACTGTGGTACAACAGCGCACCACAACAACCCATGTGTCAACTGGTCATAAGCAGGAAGTGCAGGCCCCGGTCGTGAGTTTAGACGGCGTTCACGTCGAAGCTTTACTTTTTACTCTTTCATGCTTGGCTTTGTATAATCGTTCTGTGATAATTAGGAAAGGTTCTTGACTCCATTTCAAGACAAGTCGAAGTGTCGGCCACTGAGTGGCTTACTTTTCACTGTGAATTTTGACGTAGTCTTGTTTGTTTTTCTGTTTACAGCACTGGATACTATAAAGTATTAGGTGACTCCTCTCACCTGACACTTTAAAAATCAGTCATAGTCCAAAGCCGTAGGTTTGATTCGATAGGCTATCAAATCACACCTACGACATAACATACGGCTAATGTCTGATTGGTGGGCCCTTATAGCAGCCAATCAGATTAGCGTTTGACTCCTCTCACCTAATACTCACATTACTTACAACAGCAGAATGATAAAAATTGATTTTTAAAATTTGATATTGTCTATATGATCGTGACACCGATTTTCAGCCCGCTAAACGTGACATGGCCTTTGCCGCAACCCACAAATCAGCAGTACCACTTCCATACTATCATCCTGAGGCTATCATGCCTTGCTGCTGTTGCAACCATCTAGCACATGTTCACCATGTTCAGCAACATAATCATAGTGGCGCATTGGTTCACGGTAACCATTATCCGTTCGTCCCGTTGGTACTATACAACGACGTCGACATCTACCATACAGATCATCACAACAAGGAACATGAGATGCATCAACATCATACAGGACATATTGTAAGCGCGGAACACCAGCTACATCAACATGAAGATCCTAGAGTGAGTCATTTAGACTAGGCCATCCCAAGACCGCTTGAAAACTGTGTAAGCGTATGTGCAATGTAGCCAATGAAGGGAACCTGGGTCAGCTGGTAATCTGATGAGACGCCATCCCTTCGTGGGGTGTGTTGCGGGGTTGTGGTGCAGTAGGATCGAAAGTATCGCGTCGCGGCGAGAAGGACGCCGCACGCGAAAGGGTTTAGCAGAATACAGCAGCGGGTAAGAAATACAGGAACAAAAGAAGTAAGAGTAGAGTCACATACCGGTTGAGCTATACGAAGATCGGTAGAGCTGTAATGACGGCGATCCAATGGTTCGCGACAGCCGCGTGTGGCGAATCGATTACACGAAAGCGATCCTACTGCCCGTCTCCCGTTTTGCGGAGTTGCCAGGTGTGCGGACAAGATGTAGTGGAAATGGATTTTTGAAAAAAAAAAACAAACGTCAGAAAAAATTGAATATCAGAAAGCGTATCTGCATCGCATATTTTCCTCCCAGATGCCTCAGTGGATCGTGTGTGAAGGATAATTGGTCTATAGTGGCCTACAAAACGCGGTTACCGTAGTAGGAACTATATGTGCTAAATTCAGGACCGCTCCGATACCGATCAGTCATTCGTGCTCACCAGTGTTTCCGAGCGTCGAGCTGCTTACGAACAGAAATCTACAACTTTTCCCAAAAGCAAAGGACCAAAACCAATGGTTAATATATACAGTGATTGAAAGCGCGAAATTGTCTAAATTGTTTTCTTAAAATTAAATCTAACATCATATATCCTTCAAAAATCAACATATATATTCTAAAAATTCTAGTAAAGTAATTGTATATTGCATTTAAGCAAAAGCTATTCTATTTGTTATTAGCGATATACGTAGAGGAGTCATGTGATCAACTGTGAGAATACTGTAAGATTTTCATTGAATGCTGCTCAATATGAATACGACAAAGTTGCATGTTCTTAGTAGGTATGGTGTGACATATGGGATCCATTCATTTTATATTGTGTATAAAGTTAGCTTCATCTGAATTCGGATTTGCACACATACAATTTGCTCAAGGTACCTTACACAAGGAAACACATATCGTGCACTTGCGCACGAGTTTTTGCATGCACTTGATCGTGCGTGTGCACGTACGCACGTGCAAGTGTCCACGTGCATAAATACGTCATCACGAAAAAATAACTACGTAAATGCGTGCTATTGCAGTATGCGTGCTTGGGTTTGCTCTTATCCGTACACATGTACGTGTGCACGTGCACACGCACCCTTCGAACGCCAGTGCGTTCTTGTACACGAAATATGATTGCAGCAACTAGGAAGCAAACCGCCTTTTCAATGGTGGTCATGATAATGACGCATACATGCGTCTCTGTTGAACGTGACATTCGACCTTACAATCAAACACTTGAATCACAATTCAAATGATGAAGATGTGGCGCATGTAAAAGAGCAGACGCCGCTTATGAACATCGACCTACTTTACTTCGGTGTTCTCTGAAGCGAGAGGAAAACCGCCATATACAGCTGCTAATGCTCTCAAGGATCAGCTCTAGTTACATGTTGGATTACTAGAAGGACAAGGACACATGATTGCCACTCATTCCTGAAAATCGCAGAAGACATAGGAAGCATGCCCGGGAAATTCAACGGCAAATAGTGGATCGACGATGTTGAAAACTCGATTACCAAAACAAGTTTGCTGCCAAATTGGAAGGATTCTCTCTTGCAAGCTTATTCAATGATATACAACGAGCGAAATGGTAATATCTCTTCAATCTGTTCATCATACAACGGGAAAATTCTGAGAACATTCACAGAGGAATCGGCTGTCAACAATCCAAGTCAGTGATTGGCAGTGAATAATGTAATGCTCCCTTGTCTTGAAGCTATCAAAATTGGATACAACACTACCTAGCTTCTTGAAAAACCTAGGTTCCTTAAACTTCACCTATTGGAAAGGATTTTCGCCATAGACCTCCTGAGCTACTTGACGTGACTGGTTTCCACCGAGGCAGAGAGCATCCCCTTCTGAGAAGGCTGAGGCTTTTACAATACTAACCCATGGTCGTCATCATCACGAGCACTTTCAAGATGATAATCACAGCAATCATTAAATCAGCATAATCATCATCGTTACAAGTACCGAAGAGGACATTAGTGATTGGTGACCGTCTGTGCTGGGAGAAGGTGACAAATACCATCATGGCATCAGTCAGTTCGAACAAGGAGAGTACGTTAACCAGCCGTCGTAGGGCAGTCTGCTATCGGAGGATGAGGACCAACTGATCGTCTTTGAATCGATTAATCTTATTGGTAATGAGGTATAAAGAAAATCTGCTCTACTAAAGAACAAAAAGCTCACAATCGAACCAGGTCAATTCATTTCACTGATGAAGTGGCCCGCACGGGGTGTGCTACTCTTTTCCAGGACAGTTTATTCAGGAAACGTATCTCTTGCTGATGACAACGTAAAGCTTACTTGTTGAGAAGTTTGCATTACAGTAACGAAAGGCGAAATTAATCTTGGTATGAGCTACCGTCGGCCACGGATCAGTACTTGACCTGGTACGAATGTGGTTCTAAATTTTTCTGTCTTTGTCAGATCGAAGTCCATTGGCATAAATTCACATTTTCAGGCCAGTGTCAAAGCGAGTGTTGTGGCTTCAAAGCCCCAGGTCGATCCAATGCATTCGTACGTACCTCAGACCATGACTGAACAGGTACGAATGTGGTTCCATCTTTTCGACTTGACGTTTTGTTATCTGCTGTTTTTTCGCCGCAGTACGCGTTCCGAAAGTCTCAAAAAGTTGGCGATTCTTGGGCAAAACTCCTGTCTCGGACGGGACTCCTACTCGTGAATGTGCTTTCCAGGCGCCGCGCTCTATCCCTTACGCTACCGAAACCCCGCTTGCCCTCGCCTATTTAAAGGCACGGTCCGCGATAATTCAATGGGCGGGCACGTCAACGACGTGTCCGCCTCTCATTCGTCAGACTGTCTGGCGTGACATCGAATGAGGAGCGGACACGTCATTGACACACCTGCCCATTGAATCATCGCAAACCGTGCCTTCAATGGCTTATGTGCCATAGCTTATCAGCACTCATACGTACTGCGTGTTGGCCAATATCAGAATGAGCCATTGATCACCTTGTGAGAAGTCCACCATTCCAAATAACTCGTATTTTCAGACCAGTGTTCTGACTTTAAAACCCCAGGCCGATCCAATGCATTCGTACGTACCTCAGACCACAGTTGAACAGGTACGGATGTCGTTCCGAACACTTCTAGCTTTATCACATAACAGTGCACCAAATCGTATAACTCGTATTTTCAGACCAGTGTTCTCAATTTGAAATCCCAGGTCGATCCAATGCATTCGTACGTACCTCAGAACACAGTTGAGCAGGTACAGATGTGGTTCCAAACACTTCCATCTCATTACTGAGTTTATTGTTGTCTTGAACACGTCACGAGGTTTGTAAATATCCTTTATTAGGCTGACGTTTCGGTGAAATCGCCTTCTTCAAAGCTTGAAGGGATCATAACAATCTGTGACTAACCGACCAAACGTTTCCACCAACTCACTAAGTTCGAGACCCCTAGGGCACGCAAGTGGTTGGAAGGAGAATCACTCACCGTAGCTTTGTGGATTCTTCGAAACCACCCAGCAAGTGATGGTACTAACCGACCTGTGTCAGCCGTTGTACGTCCTCATTAAAGTCGCTAAGGGAAGGACAGTCTTATGTAATATAAGGCCGTGGCTCCCGCGAGACCGCGAGACTTCTCTGCGATTTATTTTGGTGACCTGTATCCAAAATGCCTCGAGGGTTTTACGCGTGCGCACTTGCGACTCCTGTGCTACGACCTTCATGGTGACCTCAAAAACGCCTCCGTTATGCTTCTTAAATGGGCCTGGACCCTCACATGGAGTGGTCTTACCGTTTCTTCGATATACTCATCACCACAATCACATCAAGTATTTTTGTAGGCCACCCCACACATGTTACAATCATATTCCCTTCCATCTGGATAAACCACACAGTTTGAGGTTGCCCATAAGCGATCGTATAGCCTGTTCCAAATCAGAGGCTTCTTAAGTTCAAAGGGTGGTTTTTTTACAATAGCATTTGGGTTTTCCAAACCCGATCTATTTAGACACTTTCTATTGGAGGCACTGACCTCATCAGAAATAAACGGTGGTACGAAAGGAGCGTCTCCTTCAGTCGAGGTGCTACCATGTCTGAGGTTCACACCGCCAGAAGAAGCTCTACGTGTAGTTGAAAAATATACTATATACTAAAAAATATAAATAAAAAATATGTAAAATAACATAAAAATATATAAAATAAATGAATGAAATATAAAAAAACGTTTTTGTATAGCCATCTATTTCTGATGAGGTCAGTGCCTCCAATAAAAAATGTCTAAAGAGATCTGGTTTGGAGAATCTAGTTGCTATCGTAAGAGTACCACACTTCAATCTAAAGAAGCGCCTGATTCGGAACAGGCCATACGATCGCCTATGGGCAATCTCAAACTGTGTGGTTTATCCAGATGGAAGGGAAGGTGATTGTAACACGTCTGGGATGGTCTACAAGTACTTGTTGTGATTGTGGTGATGAGTATATTGAGGAAACAGCAAGACCACTCCACATGAGGGTCAGGAGCACATAGATGGCATGAGACGATTGAAAGAGCCTACTGCCTTGAGGAGTAACCGAATTCAGAAGCATAACGGAGGCATTCTCGAGGTTACCGTGGAGGTCGTAGCACAGGAATCGCAAGTGCACGCGCGTAAAACCCTCGAGGCATTTCGGATACAGGACACCGTACCAAAATAAATCGCAGGGAAGTCCCGCAATCACGCGGGATCAGCCTTATATGAGATTGGCTTTCCCTCACCGACTTTGATGGGGACGTACCCTAGCTGACACTGGTCGGTTGGTATCATCACTTGCTGGGTGGTTTCGAAAAATCCACAAAGCTACGGTGAGTGGTTTTCCTTTCAACCATATGCGCGCCCTGGGGGTCTCGAACTTAGTGGGTTGGTGGAGACGTTTGATCGGATAGTCAAACATTGTTATGATCCTTTCAGGCTCTGAAAAGCGCGATTCCGCCGAAACGTCAGCTTAATAAAGGATATTTACAAACCTCGTGAAGAGTTCAAGGCAACAATGAATTCAGTAATATACATAGTTATGAGGTTCATAGAAAGCCATACATAGAACTTCCATCTTAGCACATAAAAGTGGATCAATTCAAATGGCTCGTATTTTAGACCAGTGTTCTGAGTTTGAAACCCCAGGCCGATCCAATGCACTCGTACGTACCTCAGACCCAAGTTGAACAGGTACGGATGTGCTTGAATACTCCCAGTTTTGTCACATGACAGTACACCAAACCATATAGCTCGCATTTTCAGACCAGCGTTCTGAGTTCAAAATCCCACGTCGACCCAATGCATTCTTACGTTCCTCAGAACACAGTTGAACAGGTACGGATACGGTTCCGAATACTCCAATCTTTATCACATAGAAGTGCACCAAGTGAAAAAGTTCATACTTTCAGACAAGTGTTCTGAGTTTAAAACCCCACGCCGACCCAATGCATTCGTACGTGCCTCAGATCAACACCGTATCTGCTTCAGCTACTCAGTCTCATCAGGACCTATACGAACACCATTACATGCCAGAGCTACCTGTTCAGAATCTTTACATATCAGCAACATCACGTATAATCAGAAATATAAGCAATTTCATGACCGTTTATTTTCTGGAATTTGATTTACAGCTGTTTTGTCCTCACCGATCAGTCCTGAGGCTTTGGCTCGTATGTCTCTCAAAACTGACTCAGTCGATCTCAATGAGTCCGGCGTTGTCAAAAACGTTCGCGATTATGTCAATGCCTACGGACAAAAGGTGAGTTGTTAACTAGGCGAGGTGCCTAGGCTCTACGCTTCAATGACCACTGAAACGCTGCTGGCATAGAAGACCAATGCATTCACTGCAACGCAAAGCACACCCCAAAAATCACAGTCCACGGTAATTTTGGGTGTCGCAATCATAGGTAACTCTTCGACGAGATCGACATCGTCGGTGCATAGCCCTCAGATCTCCTGGCTCACCGGACCACCGCGCTGGTCTTGCGCCCCGTATACGCAGGCGAACCAGCCCCCGAGGACCAGAGGACTCCTGGCTGGGGAACTCCTCTGCCGCGCACAGCGTCCCCAGTCGGGATCTTCGAGGCGGCAATCCCTGCCCCCGGTACAAGGACCAGCACTGTGAACGCGGCGACACAACCTACTTTCCCAAACGCATTTATAGTGCCCTACCTCACCTACTCCCCACGGCGAAGTACAGAAGTAAGGATCACTAGTTTATTACTACTACTATACACAACTACACGACTATAAAGTGAATACAAGAAAGGGGGCAAGCGGGATAGAGGTGAACAATAAGGATAACCAAATGCTCGAAGCAATAAACGACGCAATACAAGAAGAGTAATATCACCGCTAAGAGAAGTGCCCAAAAATTAAGAATTATTTATTTATTTATTTGCGCATGAAAGCGCGCTCTAATATGTTAGGATACTTTAGAGCGGGGAGTTGCTAGTGGTAACATAACATAAATGCTAACTAATAAGAAAAAAAAAACTCAGCAAATAAAAACAAAACAGAACAGCCGAAAAGATAAGAGACAGCCAAACTAGCCGAATGTACGAAAAGATTTTTGAGATCGGAGAGGGTGAAACCGAGTCAAGAAAGGAGGAAAAAGAAAGGAGGAGGGGACCTACCAGTCAAGCAGTTGATTGGCAAAAGTCCGATAAGGAATATACCAGGGATGAGGAATCAGTCTAGGAGGAGAAGTAAAGTGCGAGCCCATTATGAGTGCAATTACCAACGACAACTCGTGACACGGACCCGAATCAGTCGGCAATGGTGCCCAATCGCCACACAAGGGGTCATAGGGGCTAGCCGGAACTCCGAGATACGGGTATACCGACAGCCACCGTGGAACCGGAAGGCTGGATGAGCGCCCCAAGCTAGCCGCTTCAATGCTCCCAGTCTGAACTTGACACCTTACCCTCCTCCTTGGAAGGTGCATAGGATATAATATGGACAACACGTCAATCAAGGGTAAGTTAATTATGATTCGGGTCGGGTTAGGGCAATAGTGCAATAAAACCAAGCCATTTGACAGGCAACCCAGGCGGGGTACAACGGGATACATGGCAGACAAGTAGGTGCCATTTTAAGAGACTTCACCTCTGCCGAGGAAGTTCAGTATGTTTATTTTTTTCGATGGAAGTTTTGAACTGATTTGAATCATTGGGTCCTACGAGCCATGAAGGCAGCGACTCCAACCACTTGGCTGTACGGGCCATAAAAGAATTCGCTCTCAGCCCTCTGCGCCATTTGCTAGGTTCAGAACAGATTGAATACGCCTATAAAAAAGGCTCCTCAATTTCAGTACTTGGAGACGGGCTTGATATGAGCAGCGCGAATAGTCTGCATTGGGAGACAATCGATAGAATAGAATCCTGGTGAATGGCTTTTGAACTTTCTCAATTTTCTGAATATCTTGCTTCGGGGAGAGGATCCAGACAGAACTACCGTATTCCAGCACAGGGAGAACATACATTTTGTAAAGTTTAATCCATATTGAGGAATCTGTAGTGTGCATAGGCCAGACAGGAGGTGAATAAGTTTAGGCCCTTTCGTCGAAATGTCATCTATGTGAGCACCCCATTTGAAATCATTGGATGTCCTGACTCCGAGTTCTTTCATATAGTCCGTTTGCTTTACATGGCAACCACCGGGAAAGCATACGTCAAGCTGAGGAGAACCCCATGAAAGCATGCAAGTTTTCTTGCGGTTAACTACCAGTCCCCAGCGAGAACACCAGGAGCGCATATTCTCGATGGCTTCGGTTAGAAGTACTTCTGCTTCATCCTTATTTTCTCCATCAAATGCTACAGAAACCTTTATGTCACCGCATATGCAGCAACATGAAGCCCACTACTCCTTGCATGAATTGCACAAGATCATGTGTGTATACCAGGAATAAAAGAGGGGAAAGCTGCTTCCTTGGGGCACTCCTGATGTATAGGTTCTAGGAGCGGGCAGATAGTCAGAGAAGCGCACACTCAGTTTCCAGTCTGCAAGGTGGGATTGAAACAATCCGTGTTCCCACCCGTGAACACCTATGCTCTCTAATTTCAGAAGTAGGCTGGATCTATTCAGGGTACCAGATGCTTTACTCAACCCAAAGTAGATGGTGTTGACTTTTCGCCCGGAGCAGATTGCTGCTATCCAGAAATGTGTGCAGACAATTGCCTGTGTACATACGGAGGAGCCAGGGAGAAGCCATGGTGTTCGAGCGGGATACACTGAAGCCGAGAGAGCCATTCTAGCAGAACGCCATTGACTACTTTCTCCAAAAAGCTGAGAGACGTAGGCAAAATACGTATAGATCAAAAACGGAGAGCTCCTTCGCGAGTGTTTTGAAAAGTAAAGTTAGAGAAAACGAAGGTTTCAAGAAGCGCAAGTTTTTATGCACCATTTCCGGAATTACGGTTGGGAAAGCACTTTTCCCCGTTGAGACCCTCGAGAACTTGTGAAACTGGTGACTGCTTGAGAAACTTGTTAGTATAAGCTGCCAAGTATTTGAGGTTAACTTTTTGAGCGGACTTCTCAATCCTGTAAGTCTGAAAGCGCCTCAAGTGATGTTACTGCTGATTTCAAAAAAGGCACTTGAATTCGAAGGATCATCAGTCATGCGGAAGAGTCTTTCTCGCTGCTCGATCAAATTCATTATGTGACGAAGATAGTCCACTTTTCGCATTGACATAAGTCTCAAAGGAACAAATTGATCAACTATAGCGTGCATGAGGCCAAAAAGGCCCTTGTATAGATATCATCACTGTGGTAATTCGAAAACAACATCATCCTGTCAATATGTGCGATGTGATATGCGATGGCACCTTTATTCATACCACTAAAGTCCCTTGATATACGAGTTACCTCCTCTCTCTGGCACTCCACCAAGGAAAATACCTTAATGATGGGATTGGAGGAGTTTGACGGAGGCAGTGCATAGATTTGAGAAACACTATGCCGGGATGCTAGAGCAATATCTAGACTTTTGTCGAGTCTAGAGGGGAGGTCTACGAATTGTGTGAGCGATAAGGCGTCGAGTATCGACAAAATTCCAATCGATGTCAAGAATTATGAATACAAGTTATATGTCATACGAGGAATATAAGGCATATATACAAAAGAAGTAATACACGACACTCACCCTTCCTTCGACCTGCAGGCGTCCTTCCAAGCGAGTTTCATCAGCTGCTGTATCCAAAATCTCCTCGGCGGTCTTCATGCCTTCGTTCCTCCTTCTCCGAGAGCCCAGTTCGACAGGTGACGGACTGCGCTCTCGGACAGATGCAGACCGGATACCGGTCGCCCTCACGCTAGCGCTCCATTGCCTTACGGGTAACTTCACAGCGTTGCCCGGGCTGTCGACAGCCAGCCGGTCGCGATGCAGGACGGGTGCCGATTGGCCATGCTGTTAGAAGGAAGGAACGCGCATAACGTGGCGGCAGAGCAGAGATGGGTCGATGCGCAAGCAGTGCGCCCGGCGGCCACCGTCGCATCCGCGACATTGGGAGTATTTAGTTTTAGGAAGAAAGGGCTGAATCCATACTTTCGAAACACACAGCAAGGTAAGAACATTCCTCAGAACCGCTCACTAGCTATTCAGTCCTAGCTACTCACCGGGGTGTAAGAGTTACGGTGGTGTACAGGCGCCACCGAGGTCGAGCGCAACAAGAAAGACCTAGCGCAAGACTAGCCGGTGCTAAGGGATACTCCCACTAAAATTGTGCATGCTACGGCCACTACTCCTGCCGCGTTGTTGGAAATTCAAGGCGAGGGGCGGGGTTCCAAGGAGGCGGGAAGGGGCGTGCGATTCAGCGTGACCCCGTTAGAGCCCTTCGCGCACGCAGCTTTGCTTCAGTACCTTTCTGTTGAGATGGACCATATGAGATTTGCAGTAGTCCACGGCTCCACCATGAATTAGAGCAAATCTTTTTACTATGGCAATGAAGCTCCTTAGAGATTGAGAATTCGATTCATAGGTCAACTATATACTTGTCAAACGCTCAAAATAAGGATATCTTTCAATTTTTTGATCCTAGTAAACGCAATCCTTCTGTAAACGTGCACAGTTGGTCTTTTTTTACTTACGTTTTATAAGTTCCTATTTCTCCCATTATGGTATTAGGTATAATGTTAAAGCGCGTCTCGTCCGATGTCCCCATTATATTGACGCGTGAATCGCAAGGCATACGCGGGAGACGGGCGGTTGGAACGGTTTTGTGTAATCGGTCCGCCGCACGCGACTGTCGCGGACCATTTCCCTTGCTATAACAGTTCGCGCGTTCTTCATACAGCTCAATCACTCTGACATCGGCCATCAAGTCATCCATTTCGTAGTAAGCTCCTTTCACTAGCCAAGTTTCAATGGACTATTCATGTGATGATCCATAGGAGTTCTTTTTTTTTGGTGGATAGCGTGAACGTAGAAGCAGATTCCACTCTTTATTCGGCTTTGTCTGACTGTTACATCACCGAGAAGTCTGTCGAGATCACTTTATGACTATGCCACCTTCAAAGTAATAGGGCATAATGTGGCGAATATGAAGATGACTTTCTAGACACATTTCTGTTGGGGAAACCAAGAAGATTATTCCTATGAAAATTCCGAATTCGATATTCAAATTGAATCACAGGAAAGGCCGCGTAGAAATCCGCAATAATTATGCATCAACCTACATATTACTTTGCCATGATGCTTCTGTTGGTTTTTTTGTTCCTGTATTTCTTACTTGCTGCTGCCTTCTGCTACATTTTTCCGCGCGCGGCGTTTATCTCGCCGCGACGCGATGATTCCGTTCCTACTGCACCACACCCGGGGTTTTGTATTGGTGGACAAACTCGTACCTATTCGACGCTGCTAGGTAGCTAACAAACAGTGGTCTCGCGCTCGTTCGAGCTTGAACTTGAACCTTTTGACTTCCATCTCCACTAAACGAAACCAACCAACCAACTAAACTAGTCATACTGAACACTGACTTTTGGTTTCACAAATTTACAGTGGCACATTCATCTGCCTCATGAAGTACATCTACCAACTTTTCAGGAGTCCGACTCAACACATCAGCAGGTCATAAAGAACAATGTTGTAAACGTGCAAGAACATAAGGTGGCTACTGCCGTACAGAATTTTACAAAGGCTAATGCTCTTAGAGCTCAAGAACAGTTTCAGAAAAAGTAAGTGATTAAATCGAGTAGAATAGTGCATACTGAAAGTCACTTTTCAGGCAGACCATCGTCAAGACAAGTGTTCAGCAGCACTCAGAGGTGATATAATTAAATTTTCAAAACTGTATAGAGCCATCACTGATCTTTGAGAAACGGAATAGTTTTGGAGTAAACTACTCAGTCGGAAGTACAGGAACAGAATTCCTTTTATTCCGATACTTTCTTAATTTACTGATCGGGCGAATAGCTATTGGACTTCACAAAGTGAGGCCAGGAACCCCTCATGCCCGAGGTCTGCAGCTCCTTTTAATCCTAAGGTTAGCAGTGGGTCCTACTCCTAGATTCGCTGAAACTGTCCCAGAAGTTTCAAGAAAATTCGATGGCTGCTTTTATAAGACGCTGACGGGTAGGAGTAGCCGTGTAACATGGCTTTTAATTGGACGAGGTCATATATAGGTGTCAGGACGAAAACGGTGTGTAATTCAGTACTTTGTTTTACATTACATACAAGTAGATCATACGAGTAGGCTATGTCATTTTCGAGTCCTAGAAAAACTTGCCTCGACTCGAAACCATTAATAGTGCCGTCCGTTGGGGAGTGAGCGGGGAGTAGGTGTCGAACTCCACGTACGGCAACTTCGATCAGTAAGATTCTCTTCCTTCCCATCAGTACTTGCCGTCAGCGGGGTGTGGTGAAGTGGCAAGTGAGGCACCTCCACACACACATAGTCACGGATTAGAATCCCGGATAGATGTCCGCCTAGGCCGACCGCCTCCCAGCTAAACGTGACATGCTCGTTACTGCCCAGTCCGGCACTTCTTTATTGCAGATTCCATGTTGTCATGTTGTTCCATGCTGCTGTTGTAGTCACATTCTTCATCATCATACTATGGACCACGACAAGAGCTGTCTGTGTCAGCAATCTTGCGAAATCTGCGAGAAGACTTGCGTAAGATACTTACATTACCACTTCGGTCAAAAGTTCTCGTAGCTTGGACGGGCTGATTGTTCTGCCAGCAGGCGCGGTCGCCCTCGGCCGTCGAGCTAGATAACTGAAAACCAAGTCGAAAACCTTTTGAAGTTTCCTAAAAGGGGAAGTAAAACTTAGCAACAGTGGATGCAAGCATGCTCTACATCTATATGATAGCTTCTCTTCGCGGCTTCGTCTGTGTAGCACGAACTTTGGGATGGGACAAAAGAATAAGAACGCGTCAGTAAGTTAGCCGTAGAAAAGCTTTGTGCTGTATTTAGTCCTAGACAAGATTGGTTTTGTAAGAGAAACATGACATGCAATATCAAAGCGAGTCCTTCGTGTTGGTTACGGTTACAGAACGTCGAGTCGTCTACGAAGAGGAGTTCGCCGAGGGCAAATTGAGCAATCCAATAGACCGAAACCAGTAGTTGACATCTACTGCGAATGAGAAGAAGAATTTTATGGAACCTTTTCTAGAACTTCAATCTAAAAAGTAACACTTTAGTAATTCGTGTGATCTTAGAAAAAAGGGCAAAATAGTTGTCCAATACTTGTTAACGATTTGAATGGCATTTGAGTTGTATTTCGTAGACCTCTCGAGGTCATGTGATGTTTACTGGAAGTGCATATCAATCGATAGTGATAAAAGTATTTGGTAGGTAGATATTTAGGATCCACATGCAATCTAGTTATGTTACGAATAAATTTAGCTTCTTCGACAAAGCTCATTTCAAACATCCCGGTGCTCCTTTCCACACCTTTGTGTGTGTGTGTGTTAACGTAGAAATTTTACTCACTCGAGTGTACCTATAAATGTGAGTTACGTACCCGAATAGCTTTGCCCTTGAAATATTTCAAAATTATTCGGCAGGGTTTCTCTCAGCGCTCATAGTTGGTTGGCGGTACTTCTCCCCAAATTCAGTGATTCAGCTACCGCATATTTCACTGAGAATTCAATCATTCATAGCCCACGAACGGATGTGGCGAGCGCGACGCGACATCGAGGAGAATTTGTTATGCTCGGATCTGATATCTTTTCCCCGAACGGCGTGCCGCGCTCGCCGCACGCGATCGCGCACTATGAAGGGAGAGATTTGAAATCCCCAGTGGAAGGATACGATAGCCGCAGCGGAACCACTGCCGCTGGCCATGGGAATTCGGGGAGAAGTTTCGCCACCCTAGTTAGACACATCATCCCACCTAAATAGCCAAGGGTAAAGCATGTGGACTGTATCTGTTCAACTGCGGAGCAATGGTGCTCCAAAACAGAAGTGCTATATATTATAACCGACACTCTTCTACATGCTTATCAAAAAACACAGAAAAAACATAATACAGATTGTATATACTGAGTACAGCGAAAAAGATGGCCACCTAGAAGTTCGGGGAGAAGTTACGACACGTCTCATTGTTAAACACTTCATCTCACCTAAATAACCAGGAGTGCAGGCATGTGTAGACCACCAATTCAACTGAAGAAAAATGGTACTCTAAAATAAAAATGATATAAACCTAAAAAACACAAAAAAACATAATACAGATTATAATCATTAAGTACAGCAAAACAGATGGCCATCTATAACAGAAACAACATGGCCATAGCAATCTACAGGTACAGGAGCTCACTCATCATATATCCCGTCGTTCTCATTAGCATTCGGATTCATATCCAAGTGCCCTTAAAGAAAACTTCATCTTCCGTTACTTTTCTACATTTTTCTAATTATTTCCTTACCAACGACATGATCTGCCGTCATATTTTCATCGTTCTCTTCATTCTTATCGAGAAGAAGCTCTCCGGTTACTTCCTCGTCTTCTTTTTCATGCTCAACGAATACATAATCACCCATCCCTTTTTCACCTTTTCCATCCTCGATAGGAGCATAGTCGGTGATCTCTCCCTCGCCTTCTCCACCATCCTTAGCAAAAGCACTCTCTGTGGGGGCTTTCCCACGTACTTCTTCTGCTGAAATGGCGAACACGTCTTCCACAACCTCTGTTACTACTTCTTCTTCATCTTTGGCGAAAACCTCCTCTTCATCCTGCTCTCCGTTTTCTTCTCCATCCATAGCGGAAACGTTATCTGTAGCCACTTTTTCACATTCTTCTCCATCCTTGGCGGCCCTGGCTTCTCCATTCTTATCAGCAACACCCTTGGCGAGAACCTCGTCTCCGTCCCCTTCCCCGTCTTCCTCCAAATCCATAGCGAAAACATTCCCTGAGGTAACTTCTTCGTTTTCTTCGAATTCCATAGTGGAAACATTTTCTGCGAGCGCTTTTCCGCTTTCTTTTCCATCCTTCTCGGGAGCTTCACATGCGGTCTCTTCTCCGTCCCCATCTCCGTCTTTGGCGAGAACATTTTCTCCAACTTCTTCGTCTTCCTCGCCATCCTCAGAGGCAACATTTTCTATCATCTCTTCTTCTCCTTGCTCTCCATCCTTTTCAGAAGCATTTTCTCCAGTCTCATTGTCACGTTCTTCTCCGACCATAGCCGTGTGTCTACACCTTCCAATCATTTCTTCGATTTCTTCGTCAATGTCGCCCTAGACACGGACGCCATTGATACACAGGAAGTACAAAAGACAAAAGATTTAACTTACCTCTCTCACCAAAATCTGCATATCACACCTAATAGAAGTCATCGACACCCTGGTGGACGAAGTGTCATGGCCTTCATGAAAAAAAGAAAGAAATCGCAGGAAATATAGATAGAAAAATTTTGAAGGATTTACAGGCATCATCGTTTTTGCCTGCTTCAAGGGCTTTACCAGTAGAATTGGATCATAGAGAGGGAACGGAGCCACCTTCTGAACATTCTCCAGCCACTATTGGACCTGGCTTCAGACAGGGGTTTCTAGCTGATATAAAGAACAGGGGATATACAGAATGAACAACTACTAGCACCATCACGCCACCGCCACTATTCTGACTCCCATCTCCCAGCTAGAAACTCCCATCAGACTGGATTCGACTTGGAATAACCGAAAATCATACAGTCTTGAAATTGAATTAAATTTGTTGGAGACGTAAACAGAGTTCGCGTGAAAAAAGAAATTGTTAGCTTGGTNGTGTGACCAAGGTGAAACGGACTATTATCTCCGGTACAAGTCGCGTCTTGAATCAGGTACTTTTCTGGTGAGTACAAATGGCCCTTTCTGTTTCGCATGACAAGTGAACTACCGGTAATATAGGAAGCAGTTGTTATACAGGACGTAAAACTAAGAATACTCCTTTTTACGCACCTACACAAAGCTAAAGCGGAATCAAGGAAATGATACTAGATTGTCACAAATCCACTGCTATATAATGATCAAATTTCCAAAATGCACTTTGAACTGTTGATGAATTGTACGCCAAGATTAGGTGGATATGAATATGGAAGTAAATTCGCAGGGCAAGCGAGGAAAATTCATGAGGAACGTAATTGGGGAAAATAAAAACACCAAAACAACCTAGTGGTATTCATGGGTGGAAGGCGAGTAAATATTTTGTTCGGAATTCACTGCGCAAATGACCACTTTCAGTACTACCGGTAGTACCCTATACTACCGGTTATTCACTTATCATGCGAAACAGAAAGGGCCATGTGTACTCACCAGAAAAGTACCTGATTCAGGACGCGACTTGTACCGGAGATAATAGTCCGTTTCACTTTGGTCACACCAACCAAGCTAACAATTTCTTTTCTCACGCGAACTCTGTTTACTTCTTCAATAAATTTAATTCAATTTCAAGGCGGTATGATTTTCGGTTATTCCGAGTCGAATTCAGGACCAGAGTTTGTAAAATAGTAACAGAAGTGAAATGACACCGTACAGAAAGAAATAAATGAGGTACGGTCCAGTGAACATTGAATATTCCTTGTCTTGGAAAAAGAATTTTTCTAATATTCTGACACCTTAAGAAGGCGCACCGTAGCGGTAAAGGGCGAAATCGTCCAAACCGCCGCGCATTCTGCCGCACAATTTGCTGCATGCAACGCCGCCCGGACGAGTCGATGTAACCATACTCGGGGAAGCACCATTCGCGACGGGACGAACACATTGCACGCAGGCAGGTTACTGTAGCTAGCTGTGCTCTATGGACATCTACCAGGCAGCTACGCACGCTCTCGCGCGCGCTAGGGGCTCTAGCCATGAGAGACGGAGCCGCATGAGCTGATTTTCACTATAGACCTTTATCGGACTTATGATATTTCCTCTCATACCTCGCCTCCTGTGGGCGGAGTCTGGCTCTGCCACCCACCATAAGTGTTCCCATGCTGTCGCCTGTACTCCCACAGAGTTTGAACTTATAAGGTCCATATGGACAGGAGTTATGAGTTTTCGCCCAAACCCTGCCCCTTGTGGGCGGAGCCTGGTTCTACCACCCACCATAAGTGTTCCCATCATGCCGCCCGTACTACTACCAACTTTGAGAGCTCTAGGATCACGGAGAAAGGAGTTGTGAATTTTTGCACAAATCCCGCCCACTGCGCACGGATCTTGATCCTGCTACCCACCATTAGTGTTCCCATCCTGTTCCCATAACTCCTACCAAGTTTGAGTGCTCTAGGATCACGGAGAAAGGAGTTGTGAATTTTTGCACAATCCCCGCCCATTACGGACGGAGTCTGATCCTGCTACCCACCATTAGTGTTCCCATCCTATTCCCATAACTCCTACCAAGTTTGAGTGCTCTAGGATCACGGGGACATGAGTTTTGAATTTTCGCTCAAACATTTATTTCTCACAAATCCCGCCCCCTTCGGGCGGAGTCCGAACCTGCAATTTTTGAGCTTGACTCCTTTCTCATGACACCGTCTGTTTTTACAAGGAATCAGAAATAGTATGATGAAGAGAACAGATGAATGGATCAATACTGCATATTGCACGAGCGGACACGCCAGGAACTTAAAGAGATGTAGTCTTGACATTGCCAAATAACTGATTGGACAAAAACACTATGCAGTGTGATTATACAACTTATTTTCCTTAGTCCTAGAAAACTTTTTATTTCCTGAAGCTTGCACAAACGGCTACCTCTTATGAAGCATCTCAAATGAGCAATGATTTGCTGACTTACCGTTTTCCGCTACTTCACAGTTAGGACGAAACGGTTGAATGAAGTTGTCAAGGAGTTTTGACATGAGACCCACTTTCAGATCAACCTAAAATTCAACCCACATTGACCCCACCAAAGTGATCACTCGCTTGCACTCTTCCTTTTTTTCTTCCCGTTCTTCAAGTACAGGTCATAGAAAACATACACGACAACTGCTGCAAAGCCGTTGTCCTCCCTTCCGAGTGATGGCATCGCTAATGACAACATCGGCCAATTCGATTACCATCGGAAGACATCTCATACAGTAGAAATGATCTCGTAACGCCACGGCCTCGCCACTGAAATGACAGAAAGCTTTGAGTAATCAACATAGTGCATAACATGCAAAATATAATAAAAATGGTGATATTTTGAACAACTAACCAAATGCTGCACATGGGTTCTAGGCGAATAGCGTTGGAGCGACTCGCGAACATTTTCTCAGCGATCTGTTCTTGTACAAAAAGTTTGAAGATAAGTAACTGACACAAACACGAACTTAGTTTTGATTTACATAATATTTCGTTGAAGACCACAGCGACTAAGGTACAAAATTCATGATGACGCAAAGAAAGTAATTACTGAACGACTCCTCAGAAGTATTTTCTATGAATCACAAGCAAAAGTTTAAATAGGTATTAATAGGGTAATGCAACAGTAAAGAAAAATCGACGAAGAAAATTAACCGGAAAATAGGGGCTCCGGGGTGGGTGAGCCAATTGGATGTTCAGCTTTTATCTCATCTCAGCTTTTTGCACGAGATAACCATCTCAGCCA